CCATACGTTACATACACCTGAGCCCTGCACCCATACGTTACATACACCTGAGCCCTGCACCCATACGTTACATACACCTGACCCCTACACCCATACATTACATACACCTGAGCCCTGCACCCATACGTTACATACACCTGACCCCCTGCACTCTATACATTGCATACACCTGAGCCCTGCACCCATACGTTACATACACCTGAGCCCTGCACCCATACGTTACATACACCTGAGCCCTGCACCCATACGTTACATACACCTGACCCCCTGCACTATATACATTACATACCCCTGCCCCCTACACCCATACGTTACACACACCTGAGCCCTGCACCCATACGTTACATACACCTGAGCCCTGCACTCCATACATTGCATACACCTGAGCCCTGCACTCCATACGTTACATACACCTGAGCCCTGCACCCATACGTTACATACACCTGAGCCCTGCACCCATACGTTACATACACCTGAGCCCTGCACCCATACGTTACATACACCTGAGCCCTGCACCCATACGTTACATACACCTGAGCCCTGCACCCATACGTTACATACACCTGAGCCCTGCACCCATACGTTACATACACCTGAGCCCTGCACCCATACGTTACATACACCTGAGCCCTGCACCCATACGTTACATACACCTGAGCCCTGCACCCATACGTTACATACACCTGAGCCCTGCACCCATACGTTACATACACCTGAGCCCTGCACCCATACGTTACATACACCTGAGCCCTGCACCCATACGTTACATACACCTGAGCCCTGCACCCATACGTTACATACACCTGAGCCCTGCACCCATACGTTACATACACCTGAGCCCTGCACCCATACGTTACATACACCTGAGCCCTGCACCCATACGTTACATACACCTGAGCCCTGCACCCATACGTTACATACACCTGAGCCCTGCACCCATACGTTACATACACCTGAGCCCTGCACCCATACGTTACATACACCTGAGCCCTGCACCCATACGTTACATACACCTGAGCCCTGCACCCATACGTTACATACACCTGAGCCCTGCACCCATACGTTACATACACCTGAGCCCTGCACCCATACGTTACATACACCTGAGCCCTGCACCCATACGTTACATACACCTGAGCCCTGCACCCATACGTTACATACACCTGAGCCCTGCACCCATACGTTACATACACCTGAGCCCTGCACCCATACGTTACATACACCTGAGCCCTGCACCCATACGTTACATACACCTGACCCCTGCACCCATACGTTACATACACCTGAGCCCTGCACCCATACGTTACATACACCTGAGCCCTGCACCCATACGTTACATACACCTGAGCCCTGCACCCATACGTTACATACACCTGAGCCCTGCACCCATACGTTACATACACCTGAGCCCTGCACCCATACGTTACATACACCTGAGCCCTGCACCCATACGTTACATACACCTGAGCCCTGCACCCATACGTTACATACACCTGAGCCCTGCACCCATACGTTACATACACCTGACCCCTGCACCCATACGTTACATACACCTGAGCCCTGCACCCATACGTTACATACACCTGAGCCCTGCACCCATACGTTACATACACCTGAGCCCTGCACCCATACGTTACATACACCTGAGCCCTGCACCCATACGTTACATACACCTGACCCCTGCACCCATACGTTACATACACCTGACCCCTACACCCATACGTTACACACACCTGAGCCCTACACCCATACATTGCATATACCTGAGCCCTGCACTCCATACATTACATACACCTGACCCCTACACCCATACGTTACACACGCTACCCATACGTTACATACACCTGAGCCCTGCACCCATACGTTACATACACCTGAGCCCTGCACCCATACGTTACATACACCTGAGCCCTGCACCCATACGTTACATACACCTGAGCCCTGCACCCATACGTTACATACACCTGAGCCCTGCACCCATACGTTACATACACCTGAGCCCTGCACCCATACGTTACATACACCTGAGCCCTGCACCCATACGTTACATACACCTGAGCCCTGCACCCATACGTTACATACACCTGAGCCCTGCACCCATACGTTACATACACCTGAGCCCTGCACCCATACGTTACATACACCTGAGCCCTGCACCCATACGTTACATACACCTGAGCCCTGCACCCATACGTTACATACACCTGAGCCCTGCACCCATACGTTACATACACCTGAGCCCTGCACCCATACGTTACATACACCTGAGCCCTGCACCCATACGTTACATACACCTGAGCCCTGCACCCATACGTTACATACACCTGAGCCCTGCACCCATACGTTACATACACCTGAGCCCTGCACCCATACGTTACATACACCTGAGCCCTGCACCCATACGTTACATACACCTGAGCCCTGCACCCATACGTTACATACACCTGAGCCCTGCACCCATACGTTACATACACCTGAGCCCTGCACCCATACGTTACATACACCTGAGCCCTGCACCCATACGTTACATACACCTGAGCCCTGCACCCATACGTTACATACACCTGAGCCCTGCACCCATACGTTACATACACCTGAGCCCTGCACCCATACGTTACATACACCTGAGCCCTACACCCATACGTTACATACACCTGACCCCCTGCACTCCATACATTGCATACACCTGAGCCCTACACCCATTGATGAACGATTGTACTGTATATGTTGTTGTTATTTTCCCTAAATTGGTGGACAGGAAATCCTGAACTGAGAGTTTTATTTTGTTTCCGACTCTTAAAGGGTTTCTAATAAATGGCCATGGAGGGATCCAGACATAGCCGGGTATCGCGGCCCCACAAGATCAGCGAATCGTCAAAGGTATGTTATACGTGACACGCGGGCTTCTGAAGTCCTTAAAGTTGAACGTCAGGATCAGCAAATATTGTCCTCATACCAGAGACCTGTGTATTCCTTCCAGATCTGTGAGGTCATCCAGTGTGAGACTTCCTGTAATAAAGACCGGTCACTGCTGCTCTCTCTCGTTGTGCAGGGGGACTGTTCTTGTCTCCGCCCCCCTCTGTAATAAAGACTGATCACTGCTCTCTCCTTGTGCAGGGCGACTAGTCTTGTCTCCGCCCCCTCCTGTAATAAAGCCCGCTCACTGCTCTCTCCTTGTGCAGGGCGACTAGTCTTGTCTCCGCCCCCTCCTGTAATAAAGCCCGCTCACTGCTCTCTCCTTGTGCAGGGCGACTAGTCTTGTCTCCGCCCCCTCCTGTAATAAAGCCCGCTCACTGCTCTCTCCTTGTGCAGGGCGACTAGTCTTGTCTCCGCCCCCTCCTGTAATAAAGCCCGCTCACTGCTCTCTCCTTGTGCAGGGCGACTAGTCTTGTCTCCGCCCCCTCCTGTAATAAAGCCCGCTCACTGCTCTCTCCTTGTGCAGGGCGACTAGTCTTGTCTCCGCCCCCTCCTGTAATAAAGCCCGCTCACTGCTCTCTCCTTGTGCAGGGCGACTAGTCTTGTCTCCGCCCCCTCCTGTAATAAAGACCGCTCACTGCTCCCTCCTTGTGCAGTGTGACTGGTCTTGTCTCCGCCCACTCCTGTAATAAAGACTGCTCACTGCTGCTCTCTCTCGTTGTGCAGGGTGACTGTTCTTGTCTCCGCCCCCCTCCTGTAATAAAGACTGCTCACTGCTGCTCTCTCTCCTTGTGCAGGGTGACTGGTCTGGTCTCCGCCCCCCTCTTGTAGTTTTCTGCAGGCAGCCTGTAGTAAGTGGGGCCTGTTGAGGCAACAAATTCACTTTTGTTTCACTTTTGGTTGGAGTGTGGGAGGGTGAGAACTCGTGTCAGGTTTTATTGCTGTTTGCGTCTGGAGAGATTGGCGCTCTCTATTTGTCCTGGTGACCATTGTCAGTGGGATAGAAAATGATGGGAAATCCAAAATTTTAGAGTCGTCACCAAATTTGAGGGGAAATCTTCCAATGGGAACACTTGCTCCGGTGACACCTAATGTAAAAGAGGGATTTCCCCACTTTAGGGAGATGTTCTCTCACTTCCTATTGTGTCTACAGGACAGGAAGTGAATGGAAATCTCCCCCAATGGATCAGAGATGGTAAAATAAAATGATTGGTTGCCAATGCAGACATGTTTCAGGCACAATGCTGATGGTTCCTTTTCCTTCCCCCCAGCTGTATCAGTGGCCTGACAACTCCAGCCAAATTCTTCGCAGTCTGGATGAGCAGAGGCAAAAGGGACTGTTCTGTGATGTCATCCTGGTGGCCGACGGCCAAAGAGTCCCGGCCCACCGGAACGTCCTGTCTGCCTGCAGCGACTACTTCAACTCCATGTTCACCATTGGCATGAAGGAAGCCCACCAAACCGAGGTGGAGTTGGTCGGAGCCTCCTACGTCGGGCTCAGAGCCGTCGTCGACTTCCTCTACAGCAGTGACCTGACTTTGGACGGTGGCAACATTGACTACATTCTGGAGACGGCCCACCTCCTCCAGGTCTGGAAGGTGGTGGACTTCTGCTGCGAGTATCTGGAGAGTGAGGTCAACGAGGACAATTACCTCTACCTGCAGGAGCTGGCCTCTATCTACAGCCTGGAGCGGCTCGGGTCTTTCATCGACTCTTTCATCTTGAACAATTACAGCGGTATGGCCTTCACCAACGACTACTTGCGGAACATCAACGTCCAGAAGCTGTGCCAGTACCTGGCGAGCAGCCGGGTCCAGCACGTGAGCGAACATGAGCTTCTACAGTCCGCCCTTCAGTGGCTGACCCACAACCCCGAACGGGAGAGCCAAGCCTACCAGGTCCTCCAGAACATCCGATTCTCCCTCATCTCCAAGAGCGACCTGGTGCAGCGGGTGAAACCCGCCATGTCTTCGCTCCTGCCCAAAGATGCCAGCTGTGAAGGCCTGGTGGACGAGGCCATCCATTACCACACCAACGTGGCTGCGCAGCCGCTCCTCCAGAACATCCGCAGCACCCTTCGTAGCGGCACGGAACGGCTGCTCTTCATAGGCGGGGAGGTCTCTGAACACTGCCTGGAGCTCAGCGACGATGTTTACAGCCTTGACCTCCAGAGGGAGCAATGGCTCTCGGAGACTCGGCTGCCGGCAAGAAGGAGCCACCACTGCGTCACCGCCCTGGGCAACTTCATCTACGTGGCTGGCGGGAGCTTCTCGATCGATGACGGCGGCGACGCGGCCTCCAATGTTCTCTACAGATTTGATCCACGCTGCGGTCAGTGGATTCAGGTGAGTTGGCGGTGACCAAAGGAA